CGTGTGCCTTGGCAGTCCCAGTTCTTCTCGCAGCAGCTCTGCCTCCTGCTGGGCAGCGCCCTCGGGGGCGTCTTCAAGAGGACGTGAGTGCCGGGCCCTCGCGCCGCGGCCCCCTGAGCCTGCCACCCCCCCCACCCTTCCCGACCCTTCCCGCCGCCCTCATCTCTGACCCCCGCGGGGCTCGGGCCACCAGCTGTCCCCGCCTTCTGGCAGGCGGCGGCCACCTCTCCTGGCTCCGCCAGCCGTGCCGCGCCTTTGCTGGAGGGCTCCCTCCCTCCCCCACCCCAGGTCACCCCGCAAAACTCTCTTCGGAGACTGAAGGTGACTTCTGGATTATTTATTTGCCTTCACTCACCCCTGTGAGGGCATAAACCCAGCTTTCACCCCGCTTTTCCCACCCGCAACCCCTGGGGAGAGGGGTGATGGATTTTGCAGGGGTAGGAGGGTCGCCCTCTTGCACAGCCGGTGTGAGGTAGATCTGTAGCCCCTGCTGCCGGGGGTGGGGGCGGAATTGGAAGTGAGGTGGCAGGAGAGGGAGTGTCACCTCAGGGGCCGTATGAGTGCCAGAGCTGGCTGCGTCTGGACAGTGCCCTCGGGCGGGCTCCACTCAGATCCTTAGCTCCAGATCAGCTGACACAGGGTGTACCTTCCCCTGGGTGGCCACGGGGCTGGTGGGTCCTGTGTGCTCGTGTGTGGGAGCCAGAGTTCCTGCATTGGCGCCTGGAGGCAGTGCCTTTCTGCCACTGAGACACAGGACCTCAGAGCTAGGTCCATGCAGGGGAGGTGCAGGGTGACTCACTTGTAACTTAATGAGGTGACCCTCCATCTCTGGTACCAGGGTCCCTCTCTGCTCCCCCCAACCCGCGATACTCCTCCCTGGCCCCTGCCCCAGGGCATGGCTCTGGTTTCTGCCTGGCATGGCCCCCAGAGATCCCTGTTTGGACACCATTGCAGAACCTCATTCTCCCAGCACAAATTCTTCACGGCCACCTCCGCAGAGTCCTTTGGAAAGGCAGCAGGATTCACTCTCTTAGTACAGCTGGGAGAACAGACCCAAAGCAGGGGGTAGATGACTTGCAAGTCGAAGGCTGCTGGATATTTCCCTAGTCCCAGCTCCTGGCTGGGTGGTTTCCTGGACTGCATGGACTCAAGCAAGCAGACGCCTGGGAACAAAACCACGGTTCACTTATCCCAGAGAAGCCTCTGGGGGCCCATTCTGGACCAAGGGCTCTGCCCTTTGGCTCACTGCTAGAGGTATCCGTGAGGGTGGGGTTTCCTCTCCAACTCACTTCCAGAGCTGATGGAGAGGAACACAGGTGTCATGCATATAAGACCCCCACCTTAAGCCATCCAACTGACAAAACTATCAACTAGGGAGTGATTATCATCACCGCCAAAATCCTCTTATAAACCAAAGCATTCTCCTCTTAAGAAGCAAGTGTTCTTGTATACACTAGTGTCTCTGTGGGTTTTGTACAGGATTGGGTGCATGGGGGACTCAGAAAATCTTAAGAGAAAGCTCGAGAGCCTTTCTGATTCTGCCTAGAGGTTTCATTAGAAATCTATCAGGGTATTTTTTTTTTCTGGTTTTGTTTTTAAGTATTTTGACTTAACAAAAGCTCCCTTTCCTGAAACAGTTTAGAAACAGGTGTATTGCAAAGAACAGGAAGGGGGATGAGGATAACTCTAAATGGCAGGTTGGTGTGCCAGGCTTTGTGAAAATAGCAGAGATACACACCCAGCTGGGCCAGCTCTTCCTTACCTGCTTTGTGCCTCCCTCAGTGAGGGGCTCTGAACAGGCAGCAGAAAGGGTCTTGCTTTAGGAAACTGGCTCACAGAAAAGAAAAAGGATGATGGTAGCAGTAATAACTAACTTTATGGAGCATTTACACGATGCCAGGCACTTTTCGTACTTAGCACCTCACTTGTATCAACTCATTTAACCTTCACAACCACCCTGTAGAACCGTGGTATTATCTGCATTTTGTGCATAAGGAAACTGAAGTTCAGGGAGGTTAAGAAACTTGCCCCTGTCACACAGCTCTTAAGAGGTCTAGCAAGGATTTGAACCCACACATTTGTGTCTAGAAGCAGATACTTTGGAAATGCCTTTTGCTTTTTCATGAAAAAGCAAGCTGACTCATAGTAGTCAGCTTCATCTCTGCAGGGTACAAGTTAAACCCTATTCTCGCCAGGCAAAGGCATGGCGTGGGTATCCCTGGGTACTCATGGGCTGAGTATTCCTGAACTGATACTCCTGGGAAGGAAACTGTGGGCCTTTGGGGCTCCCTGCTGGGATCCAAGGGGTGAGGATAGGGTAAAGTAGGGGGAGTAGGTCCCTTCAGTGGTTCAGGTTTAAATTCTGAACCTCAGTCCTCCCACCCCAAGACAAAATATATTAAAGAATCCTTTCCTTCCATCAAGAGCAGTGTAGACTTCAGTGGAAATAGAGGGACATTACGGGGGTGGCTTGTGTGTAGACAGAGTCACCACCTAGCCAGGGCTGGACAGCTCATCGCAATCCTCCATCTCCGCAGACAAACAGAACCTCCACCAGTCCTGAAACCAGCTCTGAAAGCAGCTCTAAAGCTTGATTCCTTGGGGCCTCACTGCAAGTTAAAATGCTTATACCCCTACTAGTGCTTTTCAGCTTAAGTGATTACCTCGAGTGCGCTGGGCTGGTACTGTGAGTGGCAGATTGGTTTAACAAATAGAGAAGGGCCAGCTGTTTCGGGGGAGCGGGGGTGAGTGCGGGATGACACACAGGAGGAGAGTCAGGGCAGCGCCTCTTTCTCTGGCATTCCTGGTAAGTCCCGCCTACTCCTTAGCCCAGACTGAGGACCAGGGCTGGATAGGGTTTCTGGATGCCTCCATGGGGACGCACACTGGAGGGACTGAGTGTGGAGAGCCTGGGATGTTAGAGGGCAGAAGAGAGCAAGAGTCCTCAGCCCAGGGTGGGACCAGCTCTCTCCCTCTCTCTGTCTCTTCTAACACAGACAGAGATCTTGAAGGAGGCCACCACTTGCAGGTCAAGAGGGAAAAGCATGCAGTTAGGGCCAGAAGAATCTGGACTAGACCTTCCTTAGAAAAATCTTCCTTATTGAGAGCAAGGAACTTTTCAGAAAGAAAAATATCCAAAGCCACCTGGTTGGCAGGGTGTATAGGTATGTGTCAGACAGGAAAGAAGAGGGGTATTTAGCCGAAAGGTTAGGGTTTGGTTCCTGGTTTCATGGGGACCTGTCGAACCACCCTGGGCAGTTTGGGAAACCCCTTTATCTCAAAGGCATCAGGGTAGATAAATGGCTTTCAGAGTTGCCCCAGCCTTTTCCTAACCTCACCTGGGCCTTTTCTCTGCACGCTCTTACCTGAAGGCTTGAGTTCTTCTCTTTGCTGTATTAACTATCTCTTTCTCTACCTTTCTTTTTTTCTCAACTTCCTGCAAGTCCTGCCCTACCCAAAACCCAGCTCTGACTCCTCTGACATGCCCAGAGCATGAAACCCAGTCTTCCATGCAAGGTTCCCCAGGCCACTCTCTGACCTGCTTCCCCAGGATGCTGGCCCCTGTGGTCCTGGGAACACAATACAAAAGCCAGTTCCCTTCTCTGAGCTGCGTCCTTGTTGGTCTCCCATCTAGAAAGCCTCTGCCTCTCCCTCCAGCAGCTTGTCCACCTTTCAGCATGCGGAAACCTGGCCCAAAAGCCTCCTAGGGGACTAGCACCAGACATGGGTTCTTGCTTTAAAAACCCATCTCTACATGGGAGTTACCATCTGACCAAGGAGCTCCACTCCTAGGTATGTACATACCTCAAGGAAGTGAAACTCTGTCCACACAAAAACTTGTACATGAATGTTCATAGCAGCATTATTCATAACTGCCAAAAAGTGGAAACAAACCAAGTGTTCATCAACAATGGATGGGCAAACAAAATGTGGTCTGTCTATACAATGGAATAGTATTCAGCCATAAAGAGGAAGCAAGTACTGACTCATGCTACCACATGGGTGAGCTCTGAAAACATTACGCTAAGTGAAAGAAGCCAATCTCAGAAGACCACATACTGTTAGGATTCCATTTGGCTGAAACTCCAGAGTAGGAAACTCTATAGAGACAGAAAGTAGATGAGTAGTGTCCTCGGGCTGGGTGTGGGGTGCGGAGAGGAATGGGGAGTGACTGCTAATGGGCATGGCATTTCTTTTTGGGGTGATGTAAGTGCTCCAAACTTAGACTGTGGTGATGGGTTCGCAACTCTGAATATACTAAACACCATTAAATTGTGCACTTTGAATAGATTAATTTTATCGTATGTAAATTATATCTGAGTTTTTTTTAATTTACAAAAGTCTCAAAACTCATCCCATCCCTTAATTCACTCATTCAACGAGCATCTCTTGAGCCAGGCCCTGCTGAAGGGTGAATATGACGCAGGCCCCTGCTCTAATGGAGCTGACGTTCTGGAGGACCGTTTTATTGAAATGAGGGGAATAAAGCAGGGTTAGGATGGAGAGTTACAGAGCTGGAAGCTACTTGAGCTGTGTGGTCGGGGAAGGCCTCTCTGAGCTGGCATCTGAATGACAGGAGAGAACCATGCATGCAGAGCACTGGGGGAGAGGCGTTCCAGGCAGACACAACTGCAAGTCCAACCAGCGTGGAGGGAGTGCTCCCCGTGGGCCCAGCACGTCATCGTGGGAGGGTGCTGCCCTGACCTGAGTCTAACAGGGCAGTCCTGCCCTAGGCTGGAATCCCCCCAAAGACAGGCTTCCTTACCCCTCCTTCTGGGTCCTGCCAGCCTTAACAAAGGGCCGTGAACAAGCAGGGCTGTCAGTGTGGGGATGACCCACTTAGAGGGGGCCCTTTCCCCCAGCCCCTCCCTCAGTCTGAGTCACCGCTTCCCTGTCCTCCTGCCTTGAGCTGCCATCTCCAGCCTTCCTTCACTCCCAGGGGGCGTCCTGTCTCCTGGTTTCCTGTCCCAGCCCCACTCTTCTCTTGGGGGGCTGCCTGCCCCTTTTGGGGTAAAGAGGGGCTGGGGATGCCTCTGACTTCCTCCTCGTCCTGTATTCTATCCCTTTCCCTGGTCCTTCAGGGAAAGAGATTGTCCAAGGTGGATATGGGCATCCCCTGAGGTAAAAAATGTGAGAATGTCAGTGCCACCCTGGGGTCACTCACTCTGCCAGTGGCATGGAGCTGGCCCTAGGCAGCATTCTTCCCTCTACCCCCAACTCCGCCCCCACCCCCGTCTAGGGAGTGGAGGGCAGGCCGGCAGGCTGACATCTTACTGTTTGTTTGCTCAAGGCCTCCCCCGACACCTGCTTTTAAAGCCAAGCAGCCCCTCCTATCACAGAACCAGGAGCGGGCAGGACGAGGCGATCACATGTGCCCTCTGGGGAAGGCAGAGCACCAGGGCTGACAAGGTCAGCAGCGTGCGCAAGGTCACATGGCGAAGTGGCGAAGTGGCAGGGCAGGCACCTCCAGCAGAGCCACTGCAAGGCTGGGGAGGATCTGGCTCCCTGCTCCCCCTCCCCTGTTGTCACCTTCAGTGTGGAGCCGTTAATAAGTAACTCGGACATGTTCAGGCTTCCTGAGGAAGGGCTTCCTAGACTGCCTGGGCTGTTCCTCGGTCTCCCCAGGCCTCGGGGGAGTGGGGCCCTTCCGCTCATTGGCCTGAATTAACCTCTGAACCTAGGGCCAGGGGAGGGACGATCAGTGACCCTACGTGGCCTTTTCCTGCGTTGGGGGGTCCAGAAAGTGGGTGGTCCCGGCTCTGTATTACTCCCTCTCTTCCCGGCCTGGGCCCACTTCCTGCTCTGTAAGGTGAGGGTAGGACTCTTCCATCCTCGCTGCCACTCTGGGCAGATCCTGAGCCAGCCTCCCAGGATCACGCCAGAGGGCACGGCAGCAGGAACAGAGGCAGGGCCTGGCGGGAGGATCCAGGAACTGGCCTCAGTTCTCTGACTCCTTCTGTTGACCGTGCTTCTTCGGCCCTGGCAGTGCCACTTTAGGGGCAGCCTGGGGCCTGCAGGGAGGGGGTGAGCTGCAGGGGGCTGGGGGGAGCTGCCCGTGAGTGATAGAGGAGGATGGCAGCCTTAGCCTCTCAAGTCAGTGCTTACTGTCCCCGTTTAATAGCGGAGAAACTGAGGCTCAGAAGGGCCAAGTGCAGGTGGCTTGCCCCGAGCCGCCCGCTGGGAAGGGACAGAGGTGGGCCCAGAACCAGTCTTCTGATTACAAATCGTACCACATCCGTGCTGTCAAAGCTGCCTTGACATTATTATTCCATAATTTTCAATTACTCACATTCCTGGAAGGGGCCATTGACCAAACCATTAAGTGACCCAGTCAATTTGTGTATTTCAGCCTGGCTCTAGAATGTATCTAGGACTCCTTTTTTTCTTGGCAACAACGTACTCTTTGTTGGAATTTGTTCAGGCTGATTTTTTAGAATGCCCAGACACAGCCCTGCTGAAACAACTGGGGAGGGCGAGCAGCGTGGGTTGTGGTGCCACTGTCCCCATGTACTGGGAACAGGCTTCCATGCCACCCCCACCCTCGCACCCGGGGAACCCAGGCCCAGCACGGGCTCAGCTCTCCTCAGTCACACCTGGCCGGGCTGTAAGCTCAAACCACAGCCCAGGGGCTGGCAGGAGCCGCAGGGAGGGGACTTCCCAGGCCGGTTTCCTTGCAGCCTTTCCTTTGGCCTGTTCTCTTTTTATCCCTCCCTCCCGCCTGTCGCTGGGCCTGGGAACAAAAAAAAAAAAAAAACCCTTTAGACATTAAATGTCCTTCTCTAGAACAACAAGGTGAGAGGGGACAAACTGGAGAAGGGAGAGGGCTGGACAGGGCTGCCCCCTGGCCACCAGACCTTCCCCAGCCCTGTGCCTGTCTCCTGAGCCTCCTACCACTCCGCTCAGCACCTCTCTGGCAACCTGGCTGACTTGATTCTTTATCTCTTTACTCCTGTTTCTCTGTCTCTGACTCTCTCTCTCTCTCTGTGTCATCCCCATATAATCCCACATCAGCCTCCTAACAATCTCCAATCCCTTTCTCCAGGCAAGAAAGACATGTCTTTCTCTAGCATTCCAACAACCCAGGATCAGGCACCCCAGGGCCGAGCACAGTCCGGGCATGGGGTCACGCAGTGAACGGGAGGCAGCCCTCGCCTGGGGAAGCTGGCAATGGGGCCAGCAGTTACCATGAAGCAGCCAGAGCTCCCATAACATCAGCAGAGGGTCCCCTGGGGCTCGTGTTCTGGCGACGATAGCTGTTTGCCGCTGCTTCCAAAGACCGAGGCTTTGCAGAATCTGGCCTCCTGCTCCCTACTGGCTGCTCCCGTTTCCAGCCTGGCAGGCTCTGTGGCCCGGCCACAGCAGCCTTTTCACACCCACACGCACACGCTCCTGCACCAGAAGGCAGCATGGCATAGGGAATGGCAAGTCAGAAGGCCTGGGTTTGAGTCCAGGATCTGTCTGCTACTTTCTTGGCCTTTCTCAGCCTCAGTTTACTCAGGGGTCACACGAGGCACAACTGCAAGGTCAACCTCACTGCACTGCCATGTGCACCAAATGTCTTAGACACTGTACACAGATGTTAGTTGCTGCCATGTACACTGCAATATTAGTTCCCACGCCTTCCCGCACCACCTGCCAGGCTCAGTAATGGACTCAGAGTCCTGTTCCCTCAGGATTGTGCTACAGGACTGAGCATGAATCACTCTCGTCCAGGTTTTTCCGGGCAATCATGACAATGTATTCATTCTTCAGGACAGCATTTCTGTACTTGGGGCAGTCTGTGCCTTACTGCACGGCGGTAAGTGAGGTGGTGGTAGGGTCAGGGCCTTGCACTGGCTCAGTGAGGGGAACACTTAAGGGGGAAATGGGGACCCTCTTGCTATCCCTGAAGCCAGGCCATCCAGGAAGCAACCAAGTCAATCTTGTAAAGGGAAAGGAAGGGGAAAGAGAGAGCTATTGTGACAGGCCTGTGGTTTTTATCAGCCCACAGAGGCGTGGGCATCGCCTCTGGGCTGGTACCAGGGAAACCGGCCACCAGGTAGAAGGCAGCAAGAACACATGGAGCTCAGTGAGCACCCCGGGCTGCCAGGGCTGGGCCGGGGGTGGGGGGGTGCCCACGAAGCAGGGACGCCGGAGGATGGGAAGGGGAGTGCTGGGGGAATTTGAACAGGCTGCCCCACAACACGGCCCCCCTCCCCCGGTTTCTTCCCGGTGAAGTGAGTCCCCCTGCCCCCTCACACAGCTCTGAGGTGGGAACAGGCGGGGGTCATGATGGGTCGTCTCCCCAGCAGATCAGCCCGGAAACAAGAAAATGAGAAAATAATGAACTGCTGCCATCAGCAGAGCCCTTCTGATAAAGGATTTAATCAAAGATGGGGCAAGATGAAAAGCTGAGAGCCAAAACCTCTGGGAAAAGACAGCCTGAGGGATCTCCTGGGCCTCTGTCTTCCTCAGTGAGCTGGAAACTCTGGTCTTCCTGGCACGTCAGCACTGACACTGCCCTCCCCCTCACCTCTCCAGGCCCAGCAGCCAGGCGGAGGCGCCTGGGCGCTCCAATTTGTCATAATCTGAGAAAATTCCTCTACAACCTCTCCCTTCCAGAACCTTCCTGCTGCCCACTCTTCTTCCCCCCACGTTAGCCTTTCAGACAGGTCCCGGAAAATACAAGGCTGCCTTGCTTTCCAGATATTGGGCAGAGTGTACCCGGAAGACTTGAGGCCTCCATCCATGTGTTCGCTCACCCACTGACTCACTCGCAGGGAAGCAGCCCTCAGCCTGTCTGCTGTGGGCTCCTCTGGGGGAAGGTCATCACTCAGACGCCTCTCGGTGGGGATGGCCAAGGGCATTCCTCCTGGACACTGGCCAGGCACAGAGCCCAACACCTCTGCCCATAGAGGGGTCACCAAATTACCCAAATGCCTCAGCTGTAGGCTTTGGTCCAGGCCTGGTGCCTGTAAGGGGGCTGGTGTGTTCCATTCCTGTGTGAGGGGGGTGCACTGCAGCCCAGCTCTGGGGCCTTCCTGGGCCCCACCTCCCATCTCATGCAGGTTCCCTCCAGGTGCTCAAAGCCCATTCCTCTCACACCTTCCTGAAGAGAGATGGAAATCTCTTTGCATATAATTGTTTACAAGTGAACAATTATAACTTCAAGTAAGCCATACATAATCACTTTTAAGTCCAATAAAAGCAGTTGTGCTTTGTGGTGAGTCCATAACAGAGTATCTTGAGTTCCCACAACCACCCTGCTACCTGAGGAGACTGTCGAACACCCTGCCCACGGCCCATAGCTAATAAGTGACCGAGCTTCTGCCCCAGCTCCCTTCCCCCTTTCCCCAGAGGGCGGGGGGAAATGTCTCGGCTCCCAGGGTCACTCAGCCAGCTGTGGGGGGCTCTTCATTGGAAGGGCTGCGGCTCCTCCCACTGACCTCAGCCCTCCGCCACTGCAGCCTGGCCCAGTCACTATGGGCCCTCTTCACCTCTTCTCTGGCCATCTCCCTGGTGTTCGCCGCCATCCCCTTCTGCCGCGACGTGAAGGTGCTGGCTGCCGTCATGGCACTGGCGGGCCTGGCCATGGGCTGCATCGACACGGTGGCCAACATGCAGCTGGTGAGGATCTACCAGAAGGACTCGGCTGTCTTCCTTCAGGTGAGCCACAGGCAGGCGTGGGGCGGGGTGGGGTGGGGGTGGGGTGGGCGCAGGGGAGCTCCCTCAGCCCTCTCCCCGGGCCAGCATCTCTGCCCCGAGGCCAGGGCGGTGACTCAGAGAGAGCACCAGGGTCAAGTTCAGTGTGACCACTTCCAGCGGGGCCATCCTGGGACGTTATCTCTGCACCTTGGTCTCTTCATCTCTAAAATGAGGTGAGGACCCCTGCCTGCAGGCGGTGTTTAAGTGCTGGGGAGCGAAGATTCTCTGTGGGTTGGAAAGAGGCGTGCTGGGAGGGCCTGCTGCTTCCTCTCGTCTCCTCCTCTCTCTCCGTCTTTCTTCTTCCTTCCTTCTCCTCCCAGGTACCCAGGATTCCAGTCCAGCCCTTCCCTGTATTAAGTCCCCTTCCCTTTGGGGTGTTAGATGGTGGATGCTAACATGGGAACAGCCCCCAGTGGGGGTTTAAGGTTTGGGAAAAAGGAGTGAGGGCGGGGGTGGCCAGTCACGGAGTTACCCCAGGCGAGAAAGTGATGAAGGAGCGCCACTCCTCACCAGTCCTGCCTCCCACTCCCTACTGCTCCCAGGCCAGGGCTCCCCACATGAGGCACAGGTGGGGCGGAGGGTGGAGGGTGAAGCCTGAGCCACGTTTCTCCCCATCCCAATTCTCCTCCCTCTCCAGGTTCTCCATTTCTTTGTGGGCTTTGGTGCTCTGCTGAGCCCTCTTATCGCCGACCCCTTCCTGTCTGAGGCCAACTGCTTGCCTGCCAATAGCACAGCCAATGCCACCACCCACAGCCACCCGCTCCATATTGCCAGGGTCCTGGGCCACCGCCACGCTGAGGCCCAGACTTGGTCCAACCAGACGTTCCCTGGGATGCCCCCGCAGGACGGGGCAGGGACCCGCGTGTCCTACGCCTTCTGGATCATGGCCCTGATCAATGTGAGTGCCACTGGGGCAGGGCTGGGTGGGGACTAGTGGACCGTCACCCATACCTGTCCTTACCAGCTCCCAGTGCAGATCCTTCTGTCTCTGAGAAGTGTGCTGGGGCTGAGGTGTGCCTTCAGGAAGGCAAGAAGATGGAAGAACTGACCCCCAGGGAGTCACTGAACACAGAGGGGGTCGCAGGAGATCATCTCTAAGGTCCTTCAGTTACGCTATCCTGGGATTGCGATTCTCAAGGGAGGTAAAACAGTGAGCCGGTTTAGTGCAGTGAGATCAGGGTCAACTTCCAAGTCATCAGAGGCTCCTCAGAGAACCAGCTCTTTTCCTCCAAGGCCAGATGAAGTAGACCCTGGGACAGAGCACTGCAGGTAATGCTGGGCTCTTCCCTGGAGTCCTCAGTCACTGGTGGGGTTTTCCAGTGCCTGCTGTGGGCTCCAGTGGAGTCTGGAGGATAGACAAGATGAACTCTGAGGGACCCTCCATGCCAAGGCTGCTCTGGGGGGAGCAGAGCAGAGAGACCACCTCGCTGTGACTCAGTCAGATACCAGGACCACTCCTCACCCCAACTCTCATCCTCCCCTGCTAAGTCAGGACTGACTCTGGTCTCGGGCTGGGCTCTGGTCTCTCCTCTGGTGCCCTGAACCCCCATCAGCCCAGGCTGGGGCCAGAGGGAGAGGGGAGGGTACTCCTCCCCACCCCTCTCCCCCTCTCCGGCTTGGGAAGGACCAGGAGCGAGCACTGGGGGTGGGGAGTTTTCCAGGTGGCCATTTGCCTGGCTGTGAGATGGAGGTGCCACGAAGTTTGTCACCCCAACTTGGAGCCTGTCTTTGTTCTAGGCAGACTTGTCATCCCTCAGGAAGCAGGCAGGCTGGGCCTCAGAGTGATGCCATGCACGTAGCATTGAGAGGGGCCTTTGAGGTCCCCTAGTCCAACTGAGCTGCTGCAGGGGTGTCATACCATCACTGGCCCAAGGGCCTCATAGGGCCTTTGACTCCCAGCACAAGCCCCTACCTGCTGTCCTGCGGTAACTGCTCATTTCCCCTTCTCTTTTGTAACTTTCCCCGTACCAGACTCTTCCCTTGGCACTCTCGAAAATGCACCCCTCTCCCTCTGCTCCTTCCCTTTACTGCCCATCATTGTTTTGAAACAATGCAGCTTTGGGCTTGTGCCCTCTGAGAGGGACCTACGAAGGGAAAGAGCACCGTCAGTACAATGTGGGGACCGTACTGGGACAGTACACTGTCAGGGACTCTGGGACCAGGAAGCCTGAAGGTCCGCCTAGTTAAGTATGAGGGCTGTTTTCTCTTGCCCCACAAAGCACAGACTGCAGGCACTTTGTTTGCTGTAGGATTTCCAGACTTTTTCTGTTGGTTTGTGTCTGAAGATAAACAGTCCACCCCAGAAGGCAATGGGCGGTGCGTATATGTTGGTGCCACAGACACACCGGCCGGCCCACCTGGCCTTCTCCGACTTTTCGGGTGGAGCCTGCCTTCCCTGAATCGGCTTCTTATAAAGATCCAGCGTGTTCCTGCTGGCAACGTCGGCCAGTCCTCTGTGAAGTCCTTCCCACCACCCACCTCCCTGGAAAGTCCAGTCTGAGCGATCACGCCTCATTTACAGCTGTTTCCCCTTGGCCTTCACCCAGGCATTCTGCTACCACAGGCCTCTGCGTGTGGGCTTCCTGTCTCCCCCATCGGACTGGAGGAAGGGCTTCACCTTCCCCATCAGACCCAGGACTCCTGAGGGCAGGGGCTGTCTCCTCCACTCAGGCCTGATTTGTGACTCTAATGCTGCTGCAGTGTGACTGCCTGACTTACTTATAAGTGGAGGGAGGCTCCCAAGGTGCCCACAGGGAGGTAAGCACAGGGGTGGCGTTCTGGTGAGTTGGGAACTTGCCAAACCATGTGAGCCAGCCTGCCTCCAGGCAGGGGGCGGCTTCCCCAGAGCAGCACCAGGCGGGAGCTGGCAGTCCCCTGATGTCCGTCTCTGCTGGGCCAGCTTCATCTGCGAGCCCAGAGGGGCCCATCAGCCCCTGGGCACTTTGTCAGCTCCCTGGGCTTCCTCTCTTTCTGAAGCAAAAGGAACTGGGATGAGGGGGCAGCAGGAAGGGCAGAGATGAGACTTGCCGAGGAGCTTCCTGGCGGTGAGCGTGGTTAGACACCGGCAGGGCACCTGAGGGAGGGATGGAGGCTTCTCCAGGCAACCTCAGGAGCAGGAGACATTTCTCGTTGCCCTGGGGAGTTCATAAAACCCAAGCGGCTCAATGTGAATATCAGCGAATGTGGTGTTGCGCTGTGCGTGTGTGTTGCTCCCAGCATGTATTTTTCACTCTAAAGGAGTCCATGTCCGTGTCTCTGATCTCCCTGAGGACAGCCTCTGTACCTTCGTAAGGTATGACACCTAGACGCCCCTGGCCTGGAGATGGCACTGGTCAGAATCAGGATGCCTGGGCTCCAGTCTAGCTCTGCCCCAAGTCAGCGGTAGGACTGGCACTCATGCTTCTCAGGTCTCTTCTCATTGTAACAGGTTTCAACTGAGTGATAACTTTGAGCCTCATTTGCCCCATCTGGAAAATGGGGGTGATAATTTCCCCCTAGCACGTGTTCCAGAGCTGTGATAAACAAAAGCCAAACTTCTTTGTGAAGTATCACATGATCTAGCAGCAGGAAGGCATGTGAGGGGCCATGCTCCAGCCACTCCACCAAGCCTGTCCCGGGTCAGGACAGCTGGTTGCATGAGCTGGGGATGGTGCTTAGGTCAGCGCCCTCAGGAGAGAGCTGTCTTCTCCCCGGACCGTGCAGACAGACGTCTGCCGCACAATCATGTGGAGGTGTATGCGGTGGGCCAGGCATGGGAAGTGGGGAGCCTGATGGGAACAGGGCTCTCCTGACCCTCTGCCCGCCCCCAGCTCCCGGTGCCCATGGCTGTGCTGTATCTGCTGTCCAAAGAGCGGCTGCTGACCTGCTGCCCGCAGAGGAGGCCCCTGCTCCTGCCCGCAGACGAGCTCGCCCTGGAGACACAGCCTCCTGAGAAGGAAGACACATCCTCACTGCCCCCCAAGTTTCAGCCAAACGCAGGTGGGGGGCCCTAATGAACTTTCATGCTCATGGCCCCATCCCGAGGCTTCCTTGGTAAGCCCTTCTGCCCAGAGGGTGAGCTCAGATCACAGGTGATAAGGGTTAGAAAAAAAACCCTGGCACTTTCGGCCTCGCAAGGTGGGAGATGGAGCAAATGGGCCAAGAGAATGAGGAAGGCAGGCTTCTGGCTCCCACCTCCATTCTGCCTCACCCCTCACCGTGTGACCTTGGGCGGGTTACCTGACCTCTCTAAGCCTTGCTTCCAAAAGCACTGTGAGACAGACAGGGGCTGTTGCTTCTGGACAGTTGGAAGCTAGAGAAGGCGCTGCCAGGGCTCTCCTGGCTGCCAGCCACTTTGGCCGATGTGCAGAGGCAGGGGAGCGGGTGCTGAGCCTCATCCCTGCTCTCCTTGTGTCTCGTCCAGGGCACGAGGACCTGTTCAGCTGCTGCCAGAGAAGGAACTTCAAAGGAGCCCCTTACTCCTTCTTCGCCATCCACATCACAGCCGCCCTGGTCTTGTTCATGACCGATGGGATGACGGTGAGCCTGCCCTCTGAGGGCACCCCCTGGGCTCCCTGAGCCTCAAGTCTGGGGATTATAAGAGAAAGGAGGAGCTTCAAGGTTTCTGAGAGACCTCACCTGTAGTACAGTTGATCCAAACACTTAAACCCAAATACAAGTTTTGGGGCGAGCCTCTCCTGAATCGCCCACAGCTCCTTGGAGCTGCGCTCTCCTGGCTCGTTCAGGTGTTTTTGTTTTTATGAACTCTGTGAAAAGGGAACTCTTTGGTTTGTCACTGAGTGTAGGCTCCTCGCATTTTTTAAAAATGGGGCAACGCCCTGTTCACCCAAGTAGAAGTCATACCATATAAACTCTAGGGCGCTCTGCTTCCTGGAATGTGTTCCAAGCGTGGGCTTCTCAAGCCATACGGTAAACAAGCTTCAGGCAGGATCCGGGCCCAGTGTTCAGTTCACTAGTGACCTCTGTTACCCTATTTAGTGCCTTTTCCCAGAAATCTCTAAGGATTAGATTAGGACAGTTTTGAATGGCTGTTTGATTAACCGATTGCCATATGAGGGACCTTCTGAGGGGAGGGCCCTAAAAACCTAGGTGACCTGGTGGAAAGTACTCGTGACAGTACTGGTTGACTTCCAACTCAGTGTGACCTTGAGCGAGTCACTTCTCTCTGTCCTCTCATCCGTAAAATGAGATGCCTTCACACACTTTTTTTCAGCTGTGGTACCCTTCCTTCAGCAAAAAAAAAAATAAAAAATAAAAAAAAATAAAAAAAACCGTTCCGGAATCCTCATAAATAAGACATGTAGTGGAATTCTACTCTGGTTGAAGAGGGGAGCAGAGCCTTTGTGCCCAGACCCCTCGGGACTCCTTTGGGGACCCAGAAACACCTTCCTGGATCCTCCAGCCCCTGCAGGTGCCATCCGTCAGCTGTGGCACCCAGGTTCCGCCCTCAGCTCGGGCCTGCACGCGCCATGTGGTCTCCGCTCCAAGCCCACCCCTAGGGGAGCCTCTAGGAGCAGGGCCAGTCCTCCCAGCCCACACCACACCTGCCCCGGCCGGGCCTCCTTGGTGAGCGTGCGCTGCAGGTGTGTTCAGCGGGGCCTGTCTCCCCACAGGGGGCGTACTCCGCCTTTGTGTACAGCTATGCAGTGGAGAAACCGCTGTCGGTGGGACACAAGGTGGCCGGTTACCTCCCCAGCCTCTTCTGGGGCTTCATCACCCTGGGTCGGCTCATCTCCATTCCCATATCCTCAAGAGTGAAGCCAGCCACCATGGTTTTTGTCAATGTGGTAAGTGGCCTCCTTTCACTTCTTGGAGACCCAGAAGAACCATTCACTCCTGGCCCCCCACTGCCCCAGGACTTTTGCCTGCACTGGACATGCCAGCAGGGTGGGGATGCAGGAGCAGAGGCAGGAGAGGGGGGAAGGGATGTGCTGGTGAGGGAGGAATGGAAATCCAGGGGCGGAGCCTACCTCTGCCATCTCGGAAAAGCTATTTCCTGTCTGTGGGCCTCTGATTTTGTACTCAGAGAAGACAGGGGCTGCAGGAGGTGATTAGTGCTGTGTCTGGAGCAGATCCCAGCTGACAGCCTGCCAGGAGCGAAGCAGCTGCTGGCCTTGGTCCTCCCTCGTTCCCCTTGGTGCCCAGCTGGTCAGAGCCCTGTGGCCAGCGGAGGCCAGGGATTCCCCAGCCTCCAGAATCAGCATCTCTGTGAATTTGCATCTTAAAGACTCTCCCAGATGATTCTTAAATAGCCAGACTGGCATGGAGGATGGCCTTCAAGGAACTGGTCTGCTCTGGTAGCAGGAGGTCTGGGTCTGAGCGATGATGGGTTAAGATCTGTGCCCTGATGTGTGTCCATGTCACCATCTATGACAGAGGGGTCCAGATTACAGATTCCTGTGAGGTCATCTAGCCCAATCTCCAACCTGGGCTCGAATCAGCTCTATTATATCCCTTCCAAGGGGTCCAGAGTCTGTTAAAACACCTCCAGTGACTGGAATCTCACTAGCTTCCCAGAAAGCCCAATCCACTGTCAGAAAGTACTTCCTTGGGATGAATTTCTAGCAGAGAAGGGGTTGGGGAATAATGTTGGGGCTACAGAAGCCAAAGATCATGAGCTGCAAGAAAGGCCCTTGGACTTGGCCTTGTGCTAGTTGATGACCTTCAAAAAAGAATTTTCCATTCAGTGCAGATGGGGGTCGGGAGGGTAGAAGCCAAACTCAAGAGGCTAAAGGTGAGAAGGAGATGAGAAGTGGAGATGTTTAAGTATTGCAGATATTTCTGAGCTGAAGGGAGTTTTGTTTGACAGGATTCGGGTGGTGTGAGCCTGTTTGTAGGCAGAGGAGAAAGGGAGGAAGGCTGGAAGGGGGGGGGGCCTGTGTGGATACCATTGTCAGAGAGGACGTGAGTGAGGAAGGCCCTGGGACAGGGGAGATGGGAAGGGCAGAGGGAAAGAAGTAGTTCAGTAGAGAGAGGGCTCCTTTTCTCTGGGGCTGGGGTGACTGATGTAGGCAGGAAGATGCTGCAGGTCCACGAGGTGCGGAAGAGTGAGGGGACAGGTGCCTGTGGTGGCCAGCCTCTGTAGCACATGAGGCCAGCTGCTTAGAGAGAGGAGAGTTGGGTGTGACTCGGTGTGTGAGAAAGAAGAAAGTCGGATGCCACCATGTGAGTTAGGCACTGATGAGAAACTCACCTGGGGTGCTGGGTTTTAAAAAGGAAAATCAGATTTCTGGGTCCAACCCAGACTTTGTGAATCAGAATGTCCAGGGGAAGTGGGATGGGTATAGCTCAGTGGTAAGAGCACGTGCTTAGCATGTATGAGGTCCTGGGTTCAATTGCCAGTACCTCCATTAAAAATAAATTTTAAAAAATAGAATAAAATGAGCAAACATTTTTAAAAAGATTTTAAAATCCCACATTAAAAAAAAAAAGCATGTTCAGGGAAGGGGGCCTAGTAATCTATATATTCAACAAGCACCCCAGGGGGTTCATGTCCTCAAGCAAGTTTGGGACAACACTATTCTAGAGCAAGTGATTTCCAAATACATTAGGCCCACTGGAGGTGCACTTGGGATACAAGATGCCTGGGCCCATACTCCAGAGATTCTGATTCAGGGGTGTGTGGAGAGGAACGTGGGTGTCTGGATGGTTTTAAAGCTTTTCATGTGTTTGCGGTGGGCAGCCTGTTGGGCCCGCAGCTGAACTGCTCTGAGCAAACTCCCCAGTGCTGCAGCCGCCAAGGGGCCATCTCACATTCACTGCACCTTCTTCCCAGATTCTGCTCATTGTTAAAGTAGCAGCCACTCTACTCTTGAAGTGCTCCTGGATCTCAACAACCGCTTACTGGTTAATGAGCAGACGCTCTGTGCGGGGGCCCGGGGTGGGGGAGGTGAGGGTGGCCCTGCAGGACCCTGTGAGATGAGGTCTCTGCCTTCAGGGAGCTGACAGCTGGCTCGGGAAGAAGGTGGGCGGGGAGAGGGAGTGTGCCTGGCACGGAAGGGGAGGGGGAGAAGCGGGAAGGCAGGTAGGATGCAGGCTGAGAGCCAGACTGTGGAGGGGGCTATGCAGAGTTGCCAATTCACTTTGGGCCTCCTCGGTCCCCCGTCACCCAGGCTAACGTAGGAGAGTTGGAGGTTTTTAAAATTTCCTCAGTCTGGAGATTTTCAGGGCGGCTCTTTAAGGCTTGGTTTGTAAGTGGGGTGGCCGGGTGGCGGGAAGGGATCAGGAGCTGAGCGTTTGTTAAGCACTCGCAGTGGATTGACAGTGACGTCTGGGTGGGGTCCTAGGCTCCCGCCTTCCTCCTATTCTCAGGGCTTCCCCGGCCAACGCCCGGCTGGGGAAGGTGCAGTTCCCACAGATTCCACAGGGTAGCGCACTGGTCACGCAGCGCTTGCTCCTGGGGCTGGAGAGGCACTTTTCCAAGTTAGGAGACTGGTTTTTCCTATCTCAATGGCCGCCCAACTTTCCTCGAATTTCTAATCGCCGCAATCTCTGCTGTGCCAGATCGGCGTGGTGGTGACGTTCCTGGTGCTTCTTGTTTTCTCCTACAACGTCATCTTCCTGTTCGTGGGGACAGCCAGTCTGGGCCTGTTCCTAAGTAGCACCTTCCCCAGCCTGCTGGCCTACACCGAGGACATCCTGCAGTACAAAGGTGAGTTTGGGGTGGGGAGGGGCGTGAATAGTGCCAAAGCCCTCCTTTAGGCTGGGTGCTGCCCCCCACCAGGCCACGCTTCCTGGGGTCCTCCAGCCAGAAGCTCCCTGCCCCACTTACTCATGGAAGCAAATGCTCCCCCCGACTCTGGTGGGAACAGGCTCACTGACGAGGTTGTTCTGACCCACGTGGCTCCCTCCGCTCGACATTATACCTGTATCATGTGATTTCAGACCACGGAGAAAACACAGTAAGCATCTCTTTCCCATTTTCTTTCTCCCCAGAGTAGTGGCTCCTGACCCACAGCTGGCATTTTGTGTAACATGCACGTGCTGGAAAGTCCAAGTTCACAGAAAAGCAAAGTTGCAGGGGAAACACTGAGGCATTGGAAAGGAGTTTCGTAACTTATCACTAAAAGAACCGCCTTGCTTTGTTGTTCTTGTGAACGCTGTTCGAAACAGATTAGAACAAGGATTCCACACCTGATCTGGGGTTGTGACATAGCTTCCTTAAAGTCAGAAACCTCTAATTCGGTCGATGCATCTTCCTTTTCTGTAGTCTTCCAAGTCTGTACAGTAAATATCTTTTTGTTAAATAAAAAAAGTTAATTATGAACATGTAATGTTACCCTTAGGAGTAACCAGAGTCTCCCTAGGGTGTTGGAAAACCAGCATTAAAGATGAGTGATTTCTTTAGAGCAGGAATGAGGGAAATTGGTGTTTGGCGGGGTTGAGGTCGGGGCAAGGCCAGATCAGAGCAATTATCTGCTGAGTTGATCCTGAGACCTGGAGTCCCTGAAATATAGAGATAATCCCCAAACCTCAAACAAGTAAAGTAATGAAATGATGTTGGTATCACATGTCACACAGGGTTTTAAGTGATCAGCAAGTGTTAGAGTTTAGTAATAGTAATATTAAGTTGGTTGTCTCTGCTGCAAATGATCACTCAAATCCGTCCTCCTGTCTTCTCACCATCCCTGCACTAGTTCAGGCCTTTATCTCCACTTACCTGCTTGGAATAGTTAATTGTGCCTAGCTTTTCGTAATTTCTAATCATCTCCATCCCTGCCTTGGCAGGTCCTGGCTTGCCTCCTTGCCTTTGGATTTGCCTCCGTCAGCGGTTCTCAAGGCTGGTTCCACATTTAAACCACCTGGGGCCCTTGTAACAAAGCCCACTGCCTGGGCATCATCAGCATAAAGTCTGATGTAACTGGTCCTGAGCTGCTGGGTGATTCTGACGTGTAGCCAGGGTGAGGACCACTTATGGGGCCGTCCTCTGCACTGCTGCAGATGGCTTGCTTTAAAACCCAGAGCTGATCACGGCCTTCATATCTCCCTGTGGAGCTCTTTCTCTCTCTCCAGACTTCTCCCTCTCTGCTTCCCCTCGAAGCCCACACTCTAGCCATGTTGAATTACTCGTTCTTCCCTGCTGGCACGAAAACTATTCTGTATTCCCCCACTTTGACACATGGTGACCCCTCTGCCTGGAATGCCTCTTTACCCCTTCCCACCCTTTTATCTTCTCCTCAAGTTCCTCCGAGCTCTGGGAAGTTTCTCTGATCCCACTGGGAGGGTGTGCCGCACTCCTTTGTACTGGCCTTTTGTGTTTGTCCCACCTCCAGGCTTTTGTACCCATGTTATCTGCGTTCTCTCCTTGACAGCATGCTCCCTGTGGGCACCAGCAAGGGACAAGGGTGAGAGCATGGGCTTGGAGGTTACCAGCAGACCTGAATGTCAGTCCTGCCTCCACACCTTCTGGCTTTGTGACCTTGTGCAGTTCAATTCCTTTCCCCTTTCTGAGCCTCAGTTTTCTTATCTGCAAAATTGGGATGCAAATACCTTCCTATTAGGATTGTTTTGTGCATTAGAGAAAATGTGAAGCTCTTGATTTGGCAGCATCCCTGGCTCACAGGTGCTTAGTATCTATGGTAACTCTAATTACTCATCTGGGTTCCTCGGTGTTTAGCACAGTACCCGATGCCCAGAGGGACTGAGAGGCTTTTGAAGGCATGAGTGGAATAGACAGGGGGTGCCACTGACCAGTGTTGAATCTAGAGAGGGTTTCATGGAAGAGCTGAGACTTGAGCTGGCCCAGGATTTGGAAAGTCAGAAAGAAAAACGAAAGGCATTCCAGGAAAGGGTGGGGCGGGGGCAGTGAACAGCCTGAGAGCAAAGACACAGAGACAGGTAGAAACGTTTAAGTGAGATAAACGAGGAACTTGAAGCTCAGAGTAGACAGTGATGAACTGTGTTTGATTAAAAGTGGGGAGGTTACAGCTCAGTGGTAAAGTGCGTGCCTAGCATGCATAAGGTCCTGGATTCGAACCCCGGTGCCACCACCATTAAATAAATAAATAAACCTAATTACTTTCCCTCAAAAAAAATTAAAAAAAAAAAAGCTAGGTGACAACCATACGTTGGCCACTGTGCTAATAATCAGCAGTGGTCTGTGCACTGAACTGAAAGTCAAGGCCAGGTCCTCTCTCCTGGGCTTACAGCCTTGTGGGGAAGGCTGCCTGGTAAACAGATCTGGGGATACGGATGTGGAGATGTGAGAGTAGGGGGTGGGGAGGGCTGCCGGAGCACAGAGGAGCAGCAAGAGACCCAGGTTCAGGGACGGCAGGAGCGGGAGAGGATTATGAAGGAAATCTGAACCTGGACTTGTTACAAGATGAACAGGAGTTTGCCAAAGAGAAGGAGGAAGAGGAACGTTCAGGAGGGAGTGAAGGCGTGTGTCAGAAGCTGGCGGGGAGAGTGTGTGTGGGGTCAGGAGACAGAAGAGAGCTTCTCCTGGAGGTAGAGCTGTCAATGCGGGCACATTATAAAGGGCCCTGCAAACTACATTAAAGTGTTTGGACTTGATCCTGACAGCGGCGTTGAAGGGTTTAAACAGAGAACTGGCCTGGTTTCGAGGGTTTTCTGTGTGTCAGCGCTATGCCACGCACTCGCTTGTATCACGTCCGAGTTGTCTACACAGCAACCCTGCGAAGGAGGTGTTGTCGTGCGCGCTTTACAGAAGGAAACCAAGGCCTGGAGAGAAGGGAAAGGATTTGCCTAAAGTCACCTGACTAGTAGGTGACAGTGAGCTTGGAACCCAAGTCTGGCTCTGAAGGTCTATACCCTGTTGTGGGATTAACCAGAGGTGTGTCTGGTCGGTGCAGTGCCAGGGCAGTGTGGACACTGGCCTGCTTAGCAGAGGGCTGGCCTGAGGAGATCAGGAAGTCTTCCTGGAGAGGTAGTTGGCAGTCAGATTGGGAAGGTCCCTGAATGCCAGGCTAAGCCAGAACTTACCCTGAAGACAATCATGAGGAATGGACGATTTCAGAATAAGGAAGGAATTATAGTGACAGTAGGACCTGAGAATTCCCAAAGCCAAGGTAAGGGCTCAAGGCTAAGAAATCGTAGGAATTCAAAACAGTCCTCTTAGGCAGTCGCATCGTTTTTCCAGAGGCTTCCCAGAAACAACCTGGATTGTGCCAGCAGTCGTCTGTCTCCTTAGCTGGCTTTTGCTAAGCCAAATCCTTCTCTTTTGGTCAGGCTGTGCGACCACGGTGCTGGTGACCGGGGCAGGCATCGGCGAGATGGTCCTCCAGATGCTGGTTGGTTCGGTACGTGGGGCAGCGCGGGTTGGGGGAGTCTTCGGGGTGTGCTCCTCCAGGCAGGTGAGACGACGTGGCCGGCCCCCTTCTGAACCCACGCTCCCCCTTCCCTGAGCCTCCCACACAGCAAGCGGGGCTCCACTCTCTCTCCTGTTTCCGTCTCCGAGTCAGCCTTGAAAGCTGAGCCTCCAAATGTGGGACCTGGAGATGCGAAGGATACGTGGTACCGTCCAAAGCAAACACAAGCCCTGTCTGGGAGCAGGGCCAGAGGCCCCGCGGGAACGTTTAGCTCTCAGAGCCCGGGCTGGGTTTGGGCTGCAGGCAGAGTTCCTTTCCAGCCCTCTCCACCTACCGCTCCCTGCCCCACCTCTCCTCGCCTTTGGCCGCCCTACAAAGGGCCCGGCTTTCCTGCCCACCTCCGGCCCTGATCAAGGGCCGACTTGCCCAGTTCTCTTCAAACATACCCCCATTTCATCTGTTCACCAGGAAGGGAAAAATACATCTGCTTTTGACAGAAGACTAGAATGTAAACACCGCTGTTCTCCTTTTTACAAAGGACGATGTTGCATCTCAGAGAAATTAAGCGACTTGCCTTGGGTCACACTTCCGATAACCATCGGAATGATGACATTCCATCCTAGGTTTTTTCAAGTCTCCAAGATCCCTCTAACCACTCCTTGATTCTCCTCCCCTTTTCTTTCGCTCTGCTGGACAAGGGGGAAGAGCTACACCTTATGATGCCCTCTGCGCTGAGATGACGTGATGTCTGGGGCTTGCCTCGGTGCAACCCAGTGCAGGGGGGAGGTGGAGGGGGCAGAGGAAACCGGCGTTCGTTTCTGAAGTTGGTGATGGGTCCGTGGGAATTCCACGTGCTACTTTGGCACGTGTTTTCAACCTTCCATGACAGTTCTGGTCAGGCCTTGAGGGTATAGAATCTCCTAATATGATAGGAGTTTTAAGGAAGACATGGAGATTTTTAGAAGGTTCCAGGGCACAGAGCTAAAGGGACCACAGGGGTCACTGGGTCCAACCCCTCCCCTTTACTGCAGGATTTCTGCCACCTTCAGAAACGTAACTTGAAACGAGGCCAAGATGTCCATCCTACCTGTGTTTCTATCAATTGGTGTGACGGGCCTCAACTCGACTGAAAAACCTACTGAGGCCTGAGAAGGCCGCTGCCTCCCATACATCTTCGTGGGCGGTTTTGCTGATCTGTATCTCTGTGTTCCCCCCTTGGCAGGTTTTCCAGGCTCGGGGAAGCTATAGTTTCCTGGTCTGCGGCGTGATCTTTGGGTGCCTGGCTTTCACCTTCTATATCTTGCTCCTGTTTTTCCACAGGATGCACTCTGGACTCTCATCAGGTAAGGAAAGAATCTGTTTCTACACAAGAGGAGGAAAACAGAGCGGGGGGGGGGCATGTGGGAGATGCTGTGGATCTTAGCACACCCCCAGCGATGTTCTGTTCCAAGTAAAATGCAAGGAAATGTTTATTTTTCTACAGCTTCCTTTTCCCCTCTTCCTGCTTTGTCCTGCAATTGTCTGAGCTCCACTCTCAGGGCAGGAGGGAACAGGACAGGCTGACTCATGGTTTCTCCATTCAGAGAGGGGCATGGACTGTGAACTGGCTTCCTACATCCCACCCTGCCATGGGACCGGGGGCCAAGAATGCCTTTCCAGCCTGTACAGAGACCTGAAAGGCAGAGCCTGCCTCCTTAGCTGGAACTTGGCCCAGCAGCCTAACTGGCCATCTCTTTGCAGTTGGGGATTTGACTCGAGTCCAAATCTCTTTTTCAAAAAGAAATCCTTCAGGCCAAGTAGCAAAGAAAAGCAGCTCCTTCCTGGAAGGGACATCTCCTAATAACAGTCCCACTCCTGGAGACCCGAGGCAGGGGGCGTCCCAGGGCTGTTCTCGTGACCCTGAGCCCTGATCTGCCTTTCTGCCCAGAGCCCTCAGAGCCCCAGCAACTGCACCAGCTGTTCACGTAGCTCTTAAGAACAGGTGCCCAGGCAGAACCCTCATCCTCTTCACAGAAAGCAAAATACTGGTCACAGAAAGGCTGAAGGAACAGGCATCCACAGCCCTCTCTCGCAGTAGGGACACATGCTCCCTTTAAGCATCAATGTGGGGATCCCCCAGTCAGCACCCGCTCCAGCCTCGCGTCCAAGGCGGCAGGTCCAGGTGTTGTCCAGCCCCGCACTTGGCAGTTAGGCCATCCGTCCAGAGAGATTTGCTGAACATCCAGTGAATAATAATGAGTTCCCTGTTCACAGGGGACAAAAAGAAATAGATGTTCCCCAAGCCCCGGACACTAGTCTCAACAGACTGTCTCCCCCAGCAGTTTGCCAGATTTCGCAGGTCTGACCTTTCCCCCAACGTGAGCCACCAAATGGCAGAGAAGCAAAAAGCCTGGGTAAGCGCTCAGAACGAGTGAGGGCCGTGACTAACCTGAGCTGCTGAAACACCTGTGTGGTTTTTTGTTTGTTTGTTTTTCTGTTGCAGGTCCAACCCAGGACAAAGCACTTGGGATGGAGAGTCTTGAGTGCTACCAGAGGTAAAACTGGGTGAGTGAGACAGGCGAAGACGTCTGGCCAAAGGGCCGGGGAGCGCTGGGGCGGCAATGGAGGCAACCTCTCAACGCCTCGGTTCCAACCTTCACTAATTCTTGGTTGGGTGGAAGAAATTAAATTGAATTCTGGTAACTGAGTTCACCCTGGGCAGATCATTGGAAGTTTACCTGGGTATCCAGGTCACCTTCCTCTTCCCTGGCTCAGACTTCGGGTGAGAGCGGGCCAGGAGACCCCGTGGGAAGGATGAAGACAGTTGCTTCACTCCATCAGCCGCCTCCTCCGTGGACCACAGCCTGGGTTTGAAGATCACTCTTAGTTGGACGTTTGAACAAACAAGTTGAAATTAGAAACAATGATGATCATTGCTTTATGTAGATAGAGTTTTTAAAAATCAATCAAAACAAACCCCAGGTGATTCCCTGGCATGCTCAAAGGATTTACTTGCTTTTACTTATTAATACTCCGAAGCCCCTCCAACCCCTGCTGCTGCTGTCAGTAGTTCATCTATAACCTAAAGCAGCAAAAGGAAAAGTTGACTCTTTGGGACACTAACTCAGTGGTATGCTGGGCTCGTGCATGCCAGCTTATAGAAGTCAGTTGAGTTTTCATTTTGAGAGCTGGTTGTTAAAATGCAGCCATTATTTAAAATTAAATTATATAAACTTACTACCTTTGCTTTTAATGTAATTTAACTATAACTACTCAAAGCTCATCACTTCCTAATTTTTTTCTACCTGTGTTATTGAGGTTATTTATTGTACCCGCAGGGTAGAAATACTACATAAAGATGTGCTTCCGTGTATTTCTAACTCCACCTTCAGTGATAACACGTGAGTGGCTTGAGATCAGCCATGGTGGGACTGTTTATAGCTTTTGCCAATTTCTGTGGTGTAAAGCATGGCTTTATTTTCCCCCTCGAGAGCCATTTGATCAACATTTACCAGCATACCACTAATAATCAATGCTGACTGGTCCAGAAGTTGCCTGGGAGAATGGGGTAGATGGCTCTGCTTTTCTCATTGACATTGAATAGCTTACAAAAGGTATAGAAACAGCATGAATTTCTCAAAAATATCTAACTTAAACTTTACATCTCCTCTAGGGGGAGGAAAAAATTCTTTCCATCGTGTCAACGTTTTTTTCTTTAACAAAAAGCTGGGCCGCTGCACAGTTCAAGCCGTGTGGTATACTGAAGGGGGTGTCTGTGCAGGAGCACTCGCTCCTGTCCTGATGAAACCCTGTAGTCATACAGAGAGAGGATGCAAACTGGGCTCGGAGGGCTAAGAGTGCTGGGACTTCTGCAAGTAGCGCAATGGCTCATTACAGTCGCTGTTAGTGTATTAGTTTACCTGAACTTTGTCTGCGTAAATACAAATGTCCATGTATAAATATGCAAAGTAAGTGGGTCGTGGTTCTCAGGAACCTGGCCAAGTGATGTGGTTCACATGCCCCACACTGAAAGCGTTATCCTGGAACCGTAGGCTTTGTATGTAAGCCAGCTCCGTCTGCCATCAGCGTGGGGCAGCGAGGAGGGTCTGGCTACTGAGAGAGACCTGGTTCAGGCACTGGCCTCCCCTTTTAGCTGCGTGGCCCTGGGCAGATCACGGAACCTCTTCCAGCCTTGCTTTCCTTTATCTGTGAAGTGACATTTCTAAAAGAATCTTACCCTACCTCAAAGGTATTCTGAAAAAATTAAGTGAATTTGTGTAAAGCAGTTCTTATATGCCTGACATAGAAATTTGCTTAGTAACTGTTAGCAATTTTTATTTTTAAAACCTCCTCACTAGCAGCTGAGAAATCGTTCATGTTTGGTACGTATTTATTGTAAATCAGACAGATCCAAATTCTTTTGAAAGCTGGTGGTCTAGGGGTATACTTTTAACTGTGTCTGTAAATACTTAAAAGTATTAGATCGCAGCCAAACTTAAATGTGCACTCTAACCATAGTGAGTGACTGATCTGGGGAAAAAGCAAGCAGCTATATTTTTCTGGTGATTTTTCAAGACAACATCCTTTTTATACAGATTTAGCACGAAGAATCCATGGCTGTATCTAAGGTGATCATGATTTATTTGTGAATATGGAAAATAAGATTGAAACAAATCTAAGAGTACCTTTCCTAAAATAAAATATTTTAAATTTAGTAAATGTGTTGTCCATTATGAAGGACAGTTGTTCCTTTTACATAAGAAACAAATGACCAAATGTTCCCCCAAAGCAGGTGTCCCTCATATTGTAGGTTCACATGACATATTTTAGAAGAAACAAAACTCTCAGAGACAGGACTGCGAGCCACTATTTCCTCTTATGTATAATCAGAGTAAGGGAAAGCAGCTAGGTTTTTATGCCACACTTCAAAATCAGTTACAGAGCAAATAGGGCTTTCTTCCTGATCTCCTCTTTTGAAGGGTTGCGACATTTCAGAGTCCTGTGGAATTGCCCTGTTCCCAGATTTCCCTCTGCTACTTGGATGTGGCAATTTAACCCGTCAGTACACCAGATTCATGAAGGAAGACACAGTGACGTAGAGGTCTTTTAGAGAATTCATTTATTCATTTAAAAGATTTCTCTATTACCTGCTCAGTTTAAGGCACTGATCTAGGTGCAGATACAGCAGAGATGAGACAGAAGTGCCTGCCTCACAAAGTTAACAGAGATAACTGTTACACAGGGTGAGTGATGATTGGGTGCCACAAAGAAAAATACAGCAAGGAAGGGGGACGTGAAGAGGAAATGTCAAGAGATGCTCCAGGAGGTCTTTCTAAAGAGGTACCATTTGTGCAGAAACCTAAGAGAGGCAGGAGCAAGCATCCGAGGACCTGGGGAAGATCCTATCGAGCAGGAGGGGACCCAACCAGCGCAAAGGCCCTAGACTGAACATGCTTGTAGCCTCTGGGGAACAGCGAGCTAGCAGGCCAGGGCGGCTAAGTGCAGGAAGGAAGGCGGAGAGTGGCAGGAAATAGACTGGAGCGGTAGTTGGGGACCAGCTCATTAAGCCATGGTAGAAATGTGGATTTTTAATTTTTTTTAAGTTATGTGAGGTTATTGAGGGCATTGGGGGCATGCAAGGGACATGATTTGACTTACATGTTTGAAAGTAATACTCTGGTTGTTGTTTGAAGAATAGACTGTGGGGCAAGGATGAAACCAGGGACACCTGAAAGGGTACAATTGCAATAAACCATTAAGGGATGATGGTGGCTTGGACAATGCTGGTAGCACCAGAAGTAGTGAAAGTGATCGGATTAAAGTGTATTTTGAAAGTCAAACTGACAGCATTTGCTGACAGATTAGGTGTGGGGTGTGAGGGAAAAACAGGAATCAAGAACAAACCCAGGCATCTGAGTTGTGTAGTGGGTACGTGAAAAGGCCACTGGAAGGTGACGGGGGCGCTCGAGTTTTTTCCCGACACATTCACTTTGCGATGCTACCTTGGATGTCAAGGCAGCTGACAGATATAAAATCCAAAGCTTCAAAGAAAAGTCAAGCCTGGAGATGGAAATGGCTGTGGTCACTTAATGTATAAAGAGTGTTTAATGCCAAGGAATTGAATGAGATCGTCTAGGGGGTGAGTGTGGAGAGAGATGGGAGATGCAGCCCTGGGATCCTGCAACACCCAGAGGTCGGAGAAAAAGAACAGGCTCCAGCAGAGCCAATAAGAGAAGCAACCAGAGAAGCAGGAGGAAGTTCAGGAGAGAATGTGGTTTCCTGGAAGGCATGTGAGGAGTATCTTAAGTAGGAGGAAGTAATCAGTGCTGCCACAAGGTCCCCCGTGGACTGAACCTCAGCCGTTGGATTTGGCAGGATGGAAGGGGACCTTGACTAGAGAGTGTTTGAATGGTGGTGCATTCAAAACACATGCGAGTCATAAAATCACCTCCGATGTCCCAGCAACCTCCTTGACACCAGTGCTTGCCACCTAACTTGCACAGAGGTTAGAAACTATCGTTTCATTTTTCATTATATAATGTCCTCGTATTTTAGAATGTTCCAAATGAAGTCACCTTCATGGACTCCTTTCAGTTCCAGGGTTTATTCCAGTAAGCACAGTGCTCTGTAGTGACAATCAATGTGAAAGCTTACAACTGTTAATGATTATCTCCTACCTAATAATGCCAACCCTGGAAAATTACTCAATATTAGGGTTTATCACTAGATGCATTTATGAAACACAGAAAGTAATTGCAAAATCGACATCATGCCTCTCAAAAGAGGATGTGTCAACAGTCAGAAAGGTTAGAAAATGGTGAATTAAACAGGCTTTTTCACTAAGACTTCTTCAAGCTTTTAATAGGTCTAATATGCATCTTGACTCTCAAGGGGTGAAGACCCAGTTTCCCAAATTTACTTGCCCTTGTGGGACTACTGTTCCAGACAGTGCGTTTTGAGAACCTGGGTCTAGAACCCAGCAGTCCTCACAAGTGTACCACCCACTGCCCACCATCTGAAGGACATCTAACCAGGGCTGTGAACTCTTGTCCCCACAGACAATTTGTTACTCACCTTCTTCTCACCTGGAGTATGAAACAGACCTCTGATGTGATTCTGCTACCTCTTAACCCCACTTGCCCCCACGTATATATTATCAACCCAGTTCTAAACGGGCCTAATTTCATTTGCTAAATGAACTGCAGTCTCCAGTTTCTAATCTCCACAACTACACGAAGGAACAGTGCCTAAAGCAGAAATAAGCAAAGCCTGCTTCTTACAAAGGGCTAAAACAAAAGAATCTGATTAAAATTTTAAATACTTCTTAAAAAGGTAAACACATTTTAAAAACTAAAATAAAAAAGATTTCACATGGCAAATAACTTTTCTAGCAAGTCAGTAATCTTTTAATTCCTTTTTATATTAACAATCATTTTTACATTTCCCCTTTTCACTACCTATCTCAACACAGGCTTTAAATATTTTAATGTAGATACACAACAGATAGCTGAAGGCCAGGTTTTAATGATAACCCTTGGGAAAGCTGAATTTTCCTTACCCACATTTAGCATAGATGAAAATAAAATACACAGAAACTACTTCAATCAATGTGCGAGAAGGAAATAATCAATTCAGAAAGTCATTTTGTTAAAAATATTTATTTAAAAAAATACAATTGTTGTCCATATCTAGTTGCACATACATCTATTAACACATCGATATAATCTTGGACTTTAGTAAATTTGATACAGTGCTTTCTTAAAGCCAGCTTGCCATTATACAAAGCAGATTCCTCTGTCAGTTCTTACATAAAATAATTTTTTAAATGTATCATCTTTCTAAAAGGATGCGTATCATCATTACAGAATTGAACAATAATTTTTGCATAAAACTTGAAGCAAGAGAAAAAAAAAGATCACCTGATTGGCTATTCAGAGCAACCCCTTCCTGTGTCTGGAGATGCACTGAGTATCAACTACACTTTTTCCTCTTAAAAGCAGCATATTATAAAGCCCTCAAAGTGCTAGCGCATGCTCTTGCTCACCACCCCAAGCTCTGTAAAGCTTCTTTGCCGGGCACAAGAAGAGTTCAAGGCTCTGGCTCCAGCCATCCTAACCTCCCTAAAACAACATCCCTTCATTTCCCAACAGGTGAAGTCAGACTGCTTAGCTAGAAGATGTGGCAGTTTCTCTCCAGTTGCATCAATTAACATGGTATTAATGTTAGCAGTTACCATCATTTGAGTTGCTTTTTAGGGAAAAAAAAATGATTTTAATACTCTGAAGGTCTCCCTAATGTAAATTATGTTGAAATTAATCAAGACAAGTTATCAATGACACTTTTGGTTAAGTGTGCAATGGCATCATATGTATTCTATTTATACCAAAGTAGTGGGTATTAGATATTATGAGATAGATTTCAAAGTAAAATTAAAAAAAAGATAAACAAGGGGGAAAATAAACAATGAAGTAACTGTCTCCTCAGCTGAATGGACAGAGGTTTGAGGAAAGCACCCCGACGAGTTCTTACTACCACAGAGCCCAAACTGCAGACACGGTCGTAGAAGAACGCATCTCTTTGTCGACGTCACAGCAGACAGATGCCTTCCTCCTGACTCACAGACTGCTTCGGTGAAAATCAAAAGTTTAACACTATTTAATTTTCAAGTGATATCCACCACTTGAAGATCCAGTAGGGCTCATAGAAAATTATTAGTTTGTTCTGCAAAACACAACATTATACACTTTAAAAAAAAAGCCAACTTGATTATCTGGTGAAAAGGGCATAATTCTAAAAAGAAAAACCAATTTTAGTCAAAAATTGTATTTGCCTCAAACCAAAGCCAACCAGCAGCAAAATGACTAGACTGAGTTTCATATTTAATCTTCCCTGCCCACAAAGATCAATGAAACTGCTAGAAGGTAAAAGTGAAGAAACACTTATGATTGTGATGGGAAAAGATCGAACGGCCAACCCAAATAAACAGGCCTGAGTAATCAAACATTAATTGTATTCTTTTCTATCTTTATATATATGCACCTCAGTTAATTTCACTAATACAGAACGGGGAACTTCAGACAATATGCTACTTTATCACATAAACAATGAATGTAATGTACATATAAAGCCCACTGGTAATACTGCCATCAAAAATTAAAAGTATGAAATGTCTTAGAAGGGACTGTGTCCCCTACATGACAGACAATAATTAGCAACAATGATTAAATAGGAAAGAAACTTAAAATTGGCGAGCTCACAAAGCTGAGTATGACCCACCAACTACAAATCATTAAAACTCATACATTTCTACGAAGCACAGTATTAAAAGCTTGTAAATTATTTTAAAACATCCTAGCCAAAAGAGCATACCTTACAGAGCCTAGAATGGCTCATTGGGTCATTTATCATTTATCCCTTCTCCAACATAAGTTCCAGAAAATATAAACAAGAAATAAACCTTACTTCCCTGACCCTCAATATCCTTAAGCTGAAATTTAACAAAATAATCATTAAGCGCTTCCAGTTATTAAAAATAAAACAGTGCTAATAATGGTGCCCCCAAAAGTGCCAAGTGATTTCATACCAGTATGCGGCATTCCCACCCCTAAACTCTAGGCAACTTTGAGTGATTTCACTGGCTGAAACTTAAGCCACAGGGCACCTCCCCACCCTCATCCCGTCCAGAAGATCCCAGGCCTGTCCTTGCGTGGCTCATAATCCTTGGAGGGGTTCAGAACCAGAACGGGCCCTTATGAGATGGGAACCAAGGCAAAGTTGGAAGAACATTCAACCCAAGATACTCCGAGGTTTCTGCTAATGCTTACTATGTACAGTTCATGAGGACAGATTAGGCTACGATGCCAGAATTCCTCCCCCACCATATGAGTCATGGTCAGATCTGTAGTTTAGAAACACGACTTCTAGTATACACCTCCTCTCTAAGAAACTTAGAACCCAATGTAACAAGGATTTTACACAAAAATAAATGTAGAAATTTAAAAAAAGAACACCCTTATTTGCTCAATAATACATGAACATAAGAGAACAGTTTAAGATGACTTTGCTTAGCGTATGTCACACATAGCACTGTACGGTATTTCTAAAATGTTGACAAGCAATTAGTCTTTAAGGCTTATGATTCTATGTATTTTAAAAAAATTGAAATGTGCAAGGCATTAATTTTTAAAAAGTGGCAACTGCAAAGTGCAGCCAAATTTTTCCCTTAAGTTTTAGTATAAAATAGCCTAGGAACAATCCTAGACTAGGATGAATATATGATCCCTCTGAAAAATAGATTTTTTATACACACAAACGTATATTCAGTCAATACATCAGTATATACACATACACAACACACACACACATATGCACTCAGCCAAAACATCAGAATGCCTTGGAAAGAAATGCTCTCGTTTCCTAATTAAGTATTTTAAAATAAAAATGTCAACCTCATTAAACTTGCTGATGTGCATTATACTCAAAAGATTAGCGTTCAAGAGACTTACTGTGTTTGATTGTATCCCTCACAAATTTTCTTGTTAGAGGTTTCATTTAAAATGATGCTAACAACAGCTTGCATTTCCTGGTTTCTGTAGAAAGCTCAGAGCCAACACTTTCCCTCTCACACAAACCACTCTCATTTCCATTTTCACAATGGCTACGTGTGGATGGCAGCGCCCTAGAAATTGCTATGTCCTGGCAGGCTGTCAATCTATCACAATTTTTTCCCCCCAGAAAAGTAGCGTGAAGAAACTGGCAGCTTCAAATGGAACATTTATACTACAACAACAACTCACCTTTCAGATCTGCCCTGTTTATAGGTAAAAACATGACTTTTTATCCTAACGGGTTCCACCGAGTACAAGAAATGAAATCAAACCGCCTTCTTTTCTTGCTTAATACACCACCACCCACATGAATTCTAGATTCTAAGATGAAAATTTCAACTTCAGTAAGCACGGTTCTGATGACACAGGGGACTAACAGGGCACCTTGTTTCAGGCAATGCCAGCAGCACTAAAAACAGTAACAAGACATTTATTTGTCGACCCCAAACCAAGACAATAATTAACAAAAAACATTTTCCATCAAACTAATCCTCTGGTCAGAGTACCTGCTCAAGACAATTACGGCTGACCTCCACTTCACTACCACGAACTGACCAATCAGCTTCTCCCATTCCATGTCTGTCCCGCCCGCGGGTCACAGAGTCCGTGCTGGTGAGGAGTGGAACTCTCCTGCTGGTGCAGCCCTTCCTTCAGAGCGCCAGGCTTCCACACAAAGACCTAGCACTTGCTGCCGTGTTTATTTACACACCTAGCAATGGCGCCTCAGCACAGCTCTAGATTTCTGGCAGGGGTACATAAAATGTAGACACCAAGTGAAGTGATTGATAGAACAGACCCATCAAGAAAGTATTTCTTCAGATGCCAAAAATGGTACCAATTTTTAAAAAATCAAAAACACTAATGCAGCAAGAAAATGGAGGTTGTTAGGCAATTTAAGCATAAAGCAACTTGAAGTGATTCTGAAACTGTTGGTAAAATAAAACATGAAAAAGGCCCAAAGAAGTTTGTGAGCACTTAGCAAAATAAAAGTAAATTATAAAGTGATACCTCAGATGAAAAGGAAAGAGACACAGGCTGTCAAAAGTGATACGTGTGAAGCTCTGGAAAGCACCTGGTAATGGGCTGTTTAGCAACTTATGAAAAAGAATTAATATGAAGTTTGGTAGAGAGGATGACAAGCTTTCCTGAAAAATTCCTAGTATCTTCTAGAGATTTTACATAAAAATCAGATCAAATACATAAAGGGTTTTCCCATGTATCACAATAAGGCATCCACATTTTTTCCCCCAAGATTAGACTGAGAAACAGTACTCAGGGGTCCTTAAAGTCGAGTACATGCTACGGGGGGGGGGGGTGGTGTGTGTGCAGAAGACAGTCCACTGGGTGCAGGAAGAAAATACTAGAATTTCCACTCAAGATTTATTTTTATGCCATCCTTAACTTCTGTTTTTGTGTATTTGTGTCTTGTAACATACATACTACTTCAGTCCAGCAGTATATAACTTGATGTATATGCATATGAATTTGCAATGGGGAATCTGTGTTCAAAACCTGTTACTGATTCAGGTGTGTGTTCCAAAAGGTTAGAGACTGCTTTTCTGAAATGCCACTGAGTGTCTCTAATGTGCATAAATTCACTAGAAATATACAAAACTGTCTTTGGGAACTTTAGAATCACAACACAAATGATGAGACCAGGGTGAAGCAGTGTCATCAGATGACCTGACACAGTGCCAGGTGTGAATGGAACTGAAGGGGTCATAGCAGCAGCCTGAAGTGACAGCTCCAGAACCCCAAGCCTCTGACTTGGCATCCTCTCCAAGTCTAAGTGACACATCGTAGGGAGAAAGCCAGAAACCATGCCATGTAAAGAGATACAACAGTCAGTTTTGCCTTTTTTGATCTCTAATATAGTATGTAATCTTCAAGGAATTCTTTGAGTGTAAAAAAAGAAAAACTCCAGTGTGAAAAACCGCCTAGTACCCTTTTACCATCTGGGCTCTTGGGCTTATTTTCCCCATCAAAATCTAAAGAAAAATCACTGTATCTGTATTTTAACCACCAAAATGTAAAAAAAGTAAACCTATATTTGACCTCTGAAGAAGCTTAAGGTTGACCTTTTGAGGGTTTCTAGATTCTTCCATTATGTATAAATTTTTTCAAATCAATAGAAGTTTCACCTTTGAACACACAAAATATGCCACGAGGAATATTACATCACAAAAGAAGTGTGACAAACCAAAAAGAAAACAGTGATTTTAGAAAGTACATGAAAATGCCCTCAGAGTGGAATGAACGCAGCGGCTCGCTGGCTGAGCGTGTGGCTCTGAGCCAGCGGTACATCCCTTCTCAACCCCAAGGTGGCCGCTTAGAATCCGCCACAGGGGAGATAACTTACATCATGGAAAATCAGCAAATGCTACAATTTAAGGGTCTTTTTTACCCCTAAGGAGGGCCTGGTTGTTAAATGTTGCTCAGCATCCAACTGACTAGGTAAGGGCCAGGGCAAAAGAAAAGCTAAGTTGATCACCGTGTTAGTCTCAAAAACTCATTCAACATGCTCCCGTCTTCACTTGGGCCACTTTTGCCCACCAGCATTCATCCTGGCAAAGTGACTAGTGACGGACACCAGCTACGGCTACCAAATGTTAAGTCTCTCCAGTGAAGACTGATCTTAAGTTGGTATGTCACCTTTTGCTGCTAAGAACTCTGTGGCTGCGCAAAAAAATACAGAGACTTTCCCAGGAAGGAGGTAGTTTACAAATAGAATGATCTGCCTCAAATACTTGCGCTAAGGCTGTAGCTTCATTTCATTTAAAAAGTGAACACACAAGCACACGCACACAAACACACACACCAGCTTCCCCACAACAGCTGATCTCAAAGAGTAATAAGCGGATGACCATCAACCCCCTAAGGCCCACGCCTCTCAGAGACTTCCGGGAGAGGCTCAGAGGCAGAGGACTCACTAAAACTAGTTCCTAGGAAGTTGCTTTGACTGAGTCTTCATGGTGCCCTTGGCTTCCCGGGCACTCCTGTGCTGACACGGTTAATTATCAAAGATATCATCTGTGAAAACCAACCAATGGCTTTTCTCCTTTGATTCAAAAAGATACTCTTTTGTGCTTTCAAAATTTAAAATATCTCTACATTAAGCCATCAATATTTACTTATTTAATGTACAAAATGTTAAGTAACCTAATACAACTATTGCAAAGTGCTGCCGAGCAGTCTAATTTCAAACAGGCATGCAAACGAAATGATTCCGTGTCGGGGACAACACCCCGGACGTCTGCTCCCCATCACCACTGGACACTCCCCTGCAACACCACTATTGCACATCTCAGGAACAGAACTCTTCCGCTGGTGGCCACAAATGAACCAGTAACAGGTCTCCAACGCTACAAATATAAAGGCAGCTCCCTGAATCCCGTCCCTCTGCTACTAACGAACTAGCACTGACGTCTTACACTAGAGTTCCTCTACACTGTATATAAACAAACTAAAGTGAACATTATACATCTGGACGATGCTGGTTTATAGCAGTGTCATGTTAAGCCCTCAAATCCTTACTCCCGCTTTCCATTTAGTTCAGGTGATTCAATTATAGGAACTATTTCTAGGGTTAAAAGACTAGCTCAGTGGGCAGAGTGGTTGGTGGTGCGGCATACCATCTAATCCTGGATTTTAAAGCCTCATTCTTCAAAAGACACCACTGTGATGTTGGTATTAATTCAGTTTGGGGGATCAGCAAATCTGCCTGGACCTGGCACTGATTACCCTATGGTAATATTTTATAAATTTGGTAGAGATGAAGGCCTAAGTTTTTCACTACAAAAATAAATAATCCAATCCCTATGTATGAGCGCTTCCAAATGGATTCTGCTCCCAATTAAAAAAAAATTTTTTTTCAAAAAAGCGTATCTTCACCTCACCACAGACTTGGAGGCTTCACTTTGCTTTTCATCTTCCTAATTAGATCGTTAAAACTATCACAGCCTCTAACAACCTTGAATTTAAAAGATAAACACAAAGTAGAAAACAGGATAAAATGAACAGAAGAAAGGGTCCTTCACACTGGGTACCTTATACCTGGGAAAAGCCCCACTTGTTTCAAGTTATTCAATTGAATCTTTGATTCAGAGATGCCTCAAAATTTCAAGATCCAGGTTCATCCCCTCAAAAGCCATCATCTAGCAAGCTGTATTCCACAGGTGTGTGCTCACTCCACCCACAGAGCAGATGACATTCCTGTGCCAGAGACAGGGTCCCCTATTCTCACTGATTGTTCCAAACACTGTCTTACGCCTCAGGCTCAAAGGTCTTCCTATGTGGGAATAAACTAGCTCCATGCTCTGCTGACAGGTTCAGACAAGATCACACATACGGCTAGGAGACCCAGCCTGAGTAAACGTAAGCAAGACGCCTTTCTGTGGAGGTGCTTATGTGTGTTACAGCTGACAGCCAAACAGAGCCTCCCCAACAGTCCTGCTCCAATCTTACTTTGTGTGAACAGGAATGATTCTTCTCCCTCCACTACTTACGCACAACTCATTCTTAGTATTCAACAAAGCATATGGCCAATTTCATTTAACTTATATTTCTTTAAATAATATACTCAAAGCATAAATTTTTCCTGGCTAAAGGGTCCCAGTAAGGCAGAAGGAGTAACTTTGTTCTTAGCTGCTCTTGCAAAGCATAGCTAGCTGCTAAACCCCACCAAAAATGTAACACAAAATCCAAAACATTTTTAAAAAAGAAAGAAAAAGAGGGAAGTGGAGTTTGGACTCCAATTAAGGCATTTTTACACAGTCTGACTTGAGTCCTCTTCAAAGAGAATCCTAAAAAAGCATTTTAATGGAGAATGGCAAAAATCACCGCAGTCTATTATCAGCACTGTGGAAGTATCAACCGCTCACTTTGAATGTAATCACGGTGAAAGTCTCTCTGTCTTGTTATTTCTTGGTTCTCTCATTCCACAAGCGCACAGGTCATGTTTTCTGTAGATCTGGGGAAAATGGGCCAGGGGTGGAGGGGCCATCCAGGCCAGAAAGAGTGAATGGCCCATGACTGTTCAGCACAGAAGGAAACTGAGAAAGAAAATGACACACATTATCATCCTATTACACAACCCCACATTTCACTATTATATTCCCTGAGGCAGAACGTGACAGCCACCTGCAGTGACTTGCAGGACAAAGGCAGTCATTGTTTATCATGGAAGAATATGATGACACAAAAACTTGAAAGGAAAAAGTTGTTTGTCTTAAATGTTACATATTAACACACTCCCCAGCCTACCTGGATGGAACGGAAAGAACAAACCTATACCTTCTCTCAGATCCTAAGGAACACAGGTTTACACTTAACTTCACAGGAAGGTTTTAGAAAGTCCAGTGAATGACAGCATGCACTACAGAGCATAATTCGGTTATAAAGCAAATCACAGACCGCCAATAAGAGGCCCAGAAGGAGATGCCCGTCTCCTCACTCTGTGTATAACTAGATGTAAAACTAGATGTTTAGATGTAGGGTGCTCATCAGGGAAAAGGGCTCCCAACATGCATTCTGAGACCACGTCTCTATGGGGACGTCAGGCTGAAGCTACTCGAGCACTGTGACTTTGCTGAAGGTCACAGATCTCTCTCTTAACTCAATTATCTGTCTGTGAGAGGCAAAGAAAAATGTAAAAATGAAATATGGAAAATTCTCAACATTTTCTCAAATGAATAATTGAGAACTTCTTGCAAAGAAGAAAAAAATTGTCAAAGTAAAAAGATTTTTAATGTTCTTTCTTTTTTTTCCCCCCTTACCACTTCATTTCCAAAAGAATAAATGAGAAGTTAAATTACAAAATCTAAGAAAACCTCCCAGGGAATCACCCTCAAATAAGTGAATTGAACCAGCTACAAGAAATTCTACAAGTTATAAAGTCTAGATGCTTTGGGCAAAATGGTGGTTTAAAGCTGTGAGGCCTTTCCTAAGATCCTGATTAAGAGATAGTATAATATATATATATTTAAAATGTTGACAAGTATCAATTCTGAGTGAGGGGGAAAAGGGAGTATTTGAAATACTTTTCTCAAGAGTTTTCTCTATTTTTCATCACTCCTCAGTTAAAAGGGGAAACCTGTGTGCAGAGTTCCCCCCCTAAAATACATACATACACAGAAATATGCTTTTTTCCCTAGAAAAGAGGATTTCTAGCATTTAAAATGACAAAAAATAATTGGGTGGGCTCAAAATCTACTGCAGTATTGAACAATTCTTGGTCTAATTCAAATGCATGAAATAGTAAATAACGCAAAGGAAATTCTACTGTGAATATTTATCTAAGTTGTTTGCTGGCCGGAAAGTTAACACTGAGAAATTCAAAAGTAAATCTAAAGAACACTCATTAAGTGGAAGTTTTACCGAGATTAAACGGAAGAGTGGATACGCCCTTTCACCTCTTCCTTCATTTACCACGCCCCAGTTACAAAAGACAACAAGCTTTTATGCAATTTACCTGGAAAAGTGTGTTAGCACCTTGCAGTCTGGCTGGACTTAGGGGAGCAACAGGGCTCAGAGTACTCCAAAAGTGGATACTGGAGAGCAAGGGGCTGGGGGTCAGTAAGATGGGCGTCTGCAATATACAGAACAAAAATAGAACTAAATGGCTTATCAGGATTGTGTTTTACCCTCATAATGATACACAAATAACCCTGAACCCAAATATTGTCTTCTTCTCCACTCCAAATATTTCCACGTCTGAAATTTTACCATGATGAAAAAAACCTCAGAATTTACTTTTACAACCCAGGAAAGATAAAGATCAAAATATTTTCTTACCTGTTTTTGTAGGATCTTTTTTAAACAGAAAAACCAATCTGAATTCAGGTGCAGAGAAATAATGGGTAACTGAGTCATACACAGTTTCGCTTTAATAACAAGAAGGTCTGGGAGTAATCTATTTAAATGTTACCTGAGATGAGCAAGTTAAGAAATATCTCATGTAACTGTACAAATTTGGTACTCAACATCACACCATTTTTCTTAAGGTCCTCAGGGTCTGTTTTCTAACTTGAGATTACTGCTGTTTGGTATAAGACCAAAAAGGAGAGAAAAAAAAAAAGTATTCTCTTTAAGAGAAAGTGGAAAAAACCTAAACATTTGTTTACTTGTAGAACAATGAATTTTTTAACACAACATTCCAAACCTTTTATTTTGACAATCCTAATGAGGTGAGGAATTGGGTTACCTTCACAGAACCATACATAACCTCCCTAAGACAAAGCTACGCAGTGAATGAGAACTTGAGGTTAATAAATTCTGGACTTGTTTTAAAAGGTGAGTAAGAGCAAACAATGGTGGCGCTGAAAAGAAAGAGTGTTACCTGTGAAAAAAGTGCTGGCGTGAGAGAAGCTGTAGGGAGAGAAGGGCTCAATATCCCCAGTGGGCTTGGATCACTGCCTGTGATCACGAGGGTCGGGGCCAGCTCTAGCCCTTTGGGTTTCTTGGACCTTGATGAATTATTTGTTTTGTTCTTTTCTGGCAAAACTGAATCCTGGTCTTTAGGCTCCAGTGACGAGTTCTCTGGAAGTTCCATTGGCTGAGAAGCCACTGACTTCATGTCTGTGTCCATGTCTGGGTTGGAACTCAGTGGTGGTGAAGGTGTTCTAGGAGGTTCCTGCAAAGGGGATACAGATGAAATAGGAGGGGTGGTGGTAAAGGCCGTAGTTACACTGGATGCAGGAGCTGGGGCTTCCAGCGAAGGCAGTTTGGGGGAAGCCAAGGTTTCTAACACTTGGATAGTTTCTTCTGAAGATGGAGAAATACTTGGGCCAGTTGAAATGGCGGCAGCAAGAGGTTCAACTGGTGGCTTTTTGGAAGGTGTTGTTACAAATTTGATAACAGATGGTGCTGGCTCCTGAGATTTTTTCTCTGCCAATTTCTCAGCCGGATTCTCAACCTTTATAGATTTGAAAAGCTTCCTATTGGAGGAGTTCAAAGAGTTGAGGGTAAATGAAGAATACAAGCCGGAGTGTATGTAGTCATTGCGGCTAGAGGTCTTGGCACCAGGCTGGGGAGGCTTCTCTTTCCCCGCACTCTCCACATCTTTGGAACTGCTGCTGCTGATTTCGCTGATGCTTAAAGCTTCACAGTCTCCCTCAACCCTGCCCACTGTCATTGGATCCATGTTCAGAATCTCTGGGTATGAGACAAACTTGTACACAAACTTCTGACCATTCACTTTTTTAATGATATTCTGTAAATAAATAAAACAGGCATTCTTATACTTTCTTATAAACTTACCCCCCCAACGGCTCAGGAAAAAGATGACCTAATGAGGTTCTCTGTTTGATAAGTAGTTTACTTGAAAGCTTCAAAATCATCCAAATTCATCTAGCCATATCAACAGTTCCTACGATAATAGAGTCCAAGTTAAAAACATTTAAATGTCTTATTAACAATGGAACTGATACATTACATAAAAGCTGAGAGATTTTAATTGCTAAACACTGTCAACCAAATATCTGTGTGAAGTCAAAAACCGCTGAACTGCAACTCAAATAATTGCAAAGGTACAAGCCTTTCACATCCTGAGTAAGCCAAAAGGAATTTAGAACATTAGTTCTGCTAAGGCTCCTACTTCCTTCAGAAACCCCAGTTGTTTCTTATCTCGTATCTCCATACAGGAAAGCTGATAGTATCAACCACTTACAGATGAAAGAAATTAAGATCCCAGCTTCTCATTCTAATTCTATCCACTTGAGCCATTTATTTTACCTCAGGGCCCAAGAATGTATTCAAAATAAGAAGAAATTTAAAAAATAAATTTTAACTAAGAAATCAAATCTAAGTATTAACAGTTATTCTTTACGGTATTAATTTGTGTTCTGGGTTAAACTAAAAAGTAAAAATTAAGTAAAGCTAAAAAACAAAGAACTATGTGACAAATTTTTTTCACTTTTTTTTTTTTAATGGAGGTACAGAGGATTGAACCCAGGACCTCATGCATGCTAAGCATATGCTCTATCACTGAGCTATTACCCATGCCCCAGATGAGACAATTTTTAAAGTAAATTGACAGAAACAAGAGTATTTATTTATACTTAAGAATCTCAAATTTCCTTTTCCTTATTCCACCTCTATCCTCATTTCTTCTTTAAAGACAATTACAATTAGGAGTGAAATAAATGCAGTAGGAGTGGGGTACTGAATAAGAATTTACAGAAATACAGCTAGAACATTTACATCTTTCACTCTAATTCCAAACTGCTGAAGGTAGAAAATAAATTGGATAAATAAACCAGAACAGTGATCATTTCACAATGTATACAAATATTGCATCATTATACTGTATACAGGAAACAAATATAATCTTGTATGTCCATTATACCTCAATTTAAAAAACTTCTTTTAATAAATAAATAAACCAGGACATTAGTACCCCTAACCTCAACAGAAGAGAAGGAAAAATTCTTGAAGTGGAGCGTATTACCTTTACATAATAGTATCTGAGGGCGCGGCTGAGTTTGTCATAATTCATATTAGGCTTGTTCTTTCGAATCCCCCAGAGACGAGCCACCTCTTCCGCCTGCAAAAGCTTGAACTCCCCATTATTAGAGGTCCAGCAGATCATGTGATCGTTCTGAGGCTCCTTCAGGAGCTGAAGGAGGAACTGCCACAGGGTGATAGCACTGTCCATAGCAATGAGCTGAAAGAGGCATCAGATAAGATACACAATTAACAGCCAACACTTACATAACACTGTATGTCAGGCACTGTTTTAAGTCCTCTAACTGTATTACTTTATTTCGTCCCCCCAACCATTCTCTAAGACAGATACTACTGCAGCCTCATTACTTGTGGGAAAAAACTGATCCATAAGAGTTAAGTAAACTGTCCAAAGTCACAACAGTAAACGGTGGAGCTGAGATTGAAACCCAGGCAATCTAGATCCAGAGTCCAAACTCAAGAATGACAAGCCACTTAAGAAAAATCTTGAGGGGAGGTATAGATCAAGTGGTAGAGCACATGCTTAGCATGCAAGAGGTCCTGGGTTCAATCCCCAGTACCTCCTAAAAATAAATAAACCTAGTTACCTCCCCCCTCTAATAAAAAACAATTAAGTAAATACAATGATAAGTAAAATATTTTTTTCAAAAAAAGAAAGAAAAATCTTGCTGGGAGATAAAGCTAGTTGCGTAAATGATAGGAGCAGACTGATGAATGCCAATCAATAGAGTATCACTGTTATTAAATTTTATCTTAAAAACTCATTGTCACATTCTCTGAGAAGACCACCATCTCAGCATCTGTCTAAGTTAGTCCAGTTGGTTTCTGTGTCAGGACATGTATGTGTGTGTCTCAGGGTGGCCTGGAGGTATACGGAACAAACTACTTTTGCCCCGCTGGTATTTCTCCTCCACATGGTTTCCATTATCATAAGCGTAATTTACATATAAATTGGCAGCACTGAAAATTCAGCAAAATGTTCTCTACTTTACAATTCTGTCACCATTTTGTCCACAGGAATTACATTTGCGTAGACCTTCCTTTTGCTTGATTAGCAACCTTTATGTGATTATCAAGACCTGAACTGAGAAATCTTTCAACAGTTCAACTTTTAGGATCTTCCTGTTTAGGCCAGAGTTTCTTAACTTAAGCACTATTGATATTTTGGGCCAGATAATTCTTTGTTCCTAGAGGCTGTCCTTGTGCACTGTATGCAGTGTTAACCACACCTCTGGCCTCTACCCATTAGATGCCAGTAGCACATCCTGCTCAATTTGACAATCAAAATGTCTCTAGACATTGCCAAATGTTCTCCTGGGGCACAAATCATCTCAGTTAATAACCACTGGTTTACACAATGTAGCAAGCAGCAAGGAAATGTTCTCAGTTGTTTTCCTCACAAAAACTTCAAACACCTTGTTTATAAGGAAGAGTTCTGTAGAACAGAAACTCCAGCCAAATACATATAAGCACGTCCTAAGAGGTCTATAATGGGACTTTACACACAAAAAATCAAAAAGCCTTCCTTTATCTACAAATTAGATCCCAATGGATCAGGACAGGACTTGAAGACAAACCAAAACCATTAAAATACTATAAAACAGGTAAACTGGACTACATCAAAATTTAAAACTTTCGTGCTACAAATAATACCACCACGTGAGAAGATAATCCTTGGAATGTGAGAAATTATTTTCAAATAATAAGGGACTTATCAAAACTATATAAAGAATTCTTATGATTAGAAAAAAATTGAAAATTGACAAAGGACTTGAAAAGACATCTCTCCAAAAAGATATATAAATGGCCAATAAGCACATGAAAAGATGCTCAACATCATTAGTTGTTAGGTAGATAAAAATCAAAACCACCTAAGATACCACTTCACACCTACTAGGATGGATATAATCAAAAAGACAGATGACATGTGTTGGTGAGAATGTGGAGAAAGTGAAACCCTCATATGCTGCTGGTGGGAATGTAAAATGGTGCGGCCACTTTGGAAAACAGTTTGACAGTTCCTCAAATACTAAACAGAGTTACCATACGACCCGATAATTCCATTCTTAGGTATATGCCCTAGAGAAATGAAACTGTACGTCGACACAGACACTTGTACAAGTATGCTCTTGTGGTATGCTCATGATGGTATTCATAGTATCCAAAAAGGAGAAACCACCTTAATGCCATCAACTGTGGAAAAGCAAAATGTAGTATAACCACAGAGTGAAGTATTAGCCAGAAAAAGCAATGAAGTACTGATGTGGGCTCCTTTAATGGATGAATCTTGAAAATATCATGCTAAGTGGAAGAAGCCAGCCACAAAAGACCACTCGTTGTATGATTCCATTTGTATGAAAGGTCCAGAATAGGCAAAGAACGTAGATCAGTGGTTGCTTAGGGCTGGGAACAGGGGTGGGGGTGGGGTGGGGTGGGCGGGGAGAAGAATGGGGAGTGACTGCTAAGGGGGTGATGAAAATATTCTAAATTTAGATTGTGGCAGTGGTATACAACTCTGTGAATATACTAAAACCACTGAACTGTACGCATTAAGTAGGTGAATTTTAATGGTATGTGAATTATATCTCAATAAAGATACCAAAAACAAACAGTACAAACAATACAAAAGTTAGGCCTGAGAAACCTAACTCTAACCATGTTTAACTCAGAGAGGATGGGATCCTTAAAGATCAACTATGCCTGCTTCCAAAATGGGCTGAGACAAGGAACAGTACTGGAAAGCATCTGCATTTCTATAACTTTTCTGAGACACACAGAATGTCCTCCAGTTATCACTGTGAAGCTGGTTGTACAGATACTGTCATCCAGAAATAGAGATGGGAAAATAATAAAGAAGAAAAAGGGGGAGATGCCTCCCATAATGAGAGTTAATGGAGAAACTGAGGCCATGAAGCCAAGTCTCTTTCATCACAGTCATGTACTCTGTTCATTAGGGATACCACTTCCCCAGAAGGATAAAAGCATTCAGATCACCAGTGGGTTGTAAAGAAGTATTACATTATTAGATACTGTGACAATAATCTACAAATATGAAGTGTTACTTTAACGCTAAATAACCATGCCCACTGGAAATCATAGTTTCCTATAGCCTCACCTGAGCTGTTAAAAGTTAAATGGTGGTTTGTTTATTATATCCATCAAGTACCAGGTGGGGAGGGAGAAGATGCCCTGCCATTTCCCGAATTTACCAAAGAGGCTTTTCTTCTGATGATCCCTACCCATGGCAAGTTAGTTTTTAACTACAGATGTTTTCCATTTAAACAATTATTTGATAGTCTAATAAATCTGTTACTCCCCAGTAAATTTCAGCTTAACCAAAGAACTCAGTCTCTGCATTTTCAGATATCATCTTCATATCAAGAATGCTTATAGGAGGGGGGAGGGTACAGCTCAGTGGTAGAGTGTGTGTGTAGCATGCATGAGGTCCTGGGTTCTGGAAGAAAGAAGTTAAACAGATAAATGATTTTTATAAATAAGCAAATAAACCTAACCCCCCCCCCAAAAAAAGACTGCTTATAGGAGAGTGTATATGTGTGAGAAAGATGATGACGATGACAGTGATGATGATGATGCTGGAAGGAGGAGAGGGAGGAGGAAAGAAGAAAGACAGGCAGAGAACCAGAATCTTAGGACTATGACAAAGTTGGTACCTCTAATTCCATTTATTTTTGGAAAAATTTCCCAAACCAAATCCTAGAGTCTTAATGTCTATCATGTAGATAATGCTTGAGCCCTACAGGTTTATAACAGCTAAGCCATACATGCAAAAAGACAGAACCACCGACATCTCCACAATGAGCATACACGTGCCATCCTGAGCAAATGAGAGGTGTTCCCAAGGGGGTGTTGGTTTAACATCCACCTCCCCCTTTGGTTATTAGAGGAGAGCTTGTACTGGGTGAAATGCTGGTGGAGCTGGTGGATACTTCAGGGCAGAACATAATTCTGCAGAAAACACTGAAGTTTCTCTAGCACTTTACAGGGGCTCTGCAACAGAAAGTTGTTGTGAAAGAAAAAGGGCACTGTGGTTTTGGACCGAAGTACTGGGGAAAAAAATTCTTCTGCAAAAAAATTACAAAGACATAAAACAAACATGCTCAGTGGGCACTTTAAAGGAATATTTTACTCATTCAATTTTGATATCAGTTAATTCTTTGAACAGGTGGTGAACAACTGGACATATAAAGTTGAATACCTCTTCATTCTAGTTCCCAAAAGTGTGCTATTAATATGAAATTCAATGATTTCCTCAATCATAAAAGAGAACTAAGAGGGAAAAAGTTACAAAAGACAGTTATTTAAAATTACAAAGGTAAAATGAAGAGCCAAAAAAAATCACTACTTTTATTCTTGTTACCTATCAGTCAAAAAATCCAAACTCTTGTTTTACGTCTCACAAAAATCTCAATGTTTCTACAATTACAGTTTTTCCCCAAAAATTACTGTTTTAAAAGTTTTTCAGTACCATTATAAGGAGGGAAACACTTAATTGATCCAAATGAAGGAATCTGACTTTTGAGGGGTTAAATGTGGAAAACATAATTGATTCTACCTTAATGCTTCAAAGATAGTGGATTAATCCCTGTGCTAAAATGAAAGAGGGAACAAGCTGAAGTAACTCATTAGAGAAAGGAAGTCTATTAAATAAAACCTTTTCCACCCTAAACATGTTTATAATACACATAGTCCAGTTGCTGTGGTGACCCTTAGTCCATTTTTCAGAAACAGTATTTAGACCCGAAAAAATAAATTCCAGCCTCCAAATTCAGAGTGCTGCTTAAATAAAACAAAAACAAATTACGATACGTATCAAGACTAGTTTTGAGTTAAAACCATCCTCGCTGTCAAAAAGGAACCTAGTGTATCTAACCACACAGTATCCTAACAGAAATACTGAAAGTGTGCTGTTACAATAAAACTTAAAAACAACACTTCCCTAAATGGATTCCATTTACGCAGTTTTAATGTTTAAATAAAATCAAAGAGGAAAGAGTTCCCGAGGGGGTAAAACTGAATCACACTACATTTTAAATAAAACATCACTGACAGTTTTGAGTATGGAAGCACCAGGTCTTCCGCAGTGGGGCGGTGAGTAGGAGACGGCAAAAGGGAAGGGAGGATCTGATCCACCAACCAGACATGAGTGAATCGTTCCCATAAGGAGTAAAACTCCGGAATCTTAATTTTAAAACCCTGAACTTCAAAGA